TTTTTTATTCGGGCTACTTAAATTTATTTTGGGCTACCAAAAACTGAAGAGTCCCTGCCCGAAGGGCTACCAGGGATTTTGAAATTTTGAGAGCCCTGAGATATATTTATTTTTTTAATTACTTTTGTTTCAGCAACATTAAATTTAAATTTACACTACCCTGTGTTGTGGTGACAAATGCAGGCATTAACTTGTATATGGTACACATATAAATATTTGCCCTGCCATTGCATAAATACTTGCCACTAAATGTTTGTATTTTGTGTTCATATCAGCTCTATAGTAGCATATCAACCAGAAGGAGACAACAGCCACACCTTTGAGGTTATGGCGATGTTGAAGTCTTTTGGGATTTTCCTGGGAGTTTTCAGCGGCTCATTTGCACTAGGAGTCGCCACTGGAATCGTCACCGCTCTCATATCTTTTTTCGTTTGTTTGGTTGTATCATTTATTTAGATAAGTTACATGTTGTTGTAGCAGTGCTTAAACAGCAAACAGACTCTTAATGAGCATACACACATGTGCCATAAATATCAAGAAACTCCTAATAGTGTATTTCATTCAAACCAAGAACATAAAAAGTGCAATCAAATTCAGTTCCAAACTACAAAAAGGGACATGAAGGTTCTTTCAATTTATTTTGGCATTTTAAACTCAACCTGTAAAGTTTTTGTTCAGACCGGACCTTTGTCCTTTGGAACAAAGCATCAATATTTTATCACTTCATTCTGTTTGTTCCCTTGCTAAAGTTAGCGTATGAATTTTGTGTCACAGCCAAAGACTTGTTTTATAAGGTCACAGTCACCATTAACCAAAGAAATTTATTCTCGTGTCCATTTTATTAAGGACATAAAGGGGAAGATTTAACTACACCAAAGCCTTAGTGTTAGCTGGCCAGCATCTATGTCATTTTTTTAACATTCTGAGCGGGGCTACGTGAATGTTTTTGTGATAGTCTACGTCAGGGTAGGGGAACTCCAGACCTCAAGGGCCAGTGTCCTGCAGGTTTTAGATAACACCCTGGGTCAACACACCTGAATCAAATGACTAGTTCATTACCAGGCCTCTGGGAGGAGGAATTTAGCCATTTAAATCAGCTGTGTTGGCTCAAGGACACAGCCTGCAGGACACCAGCCCTCGAGGCCTGGAGTTCTCCACCCCGGTCTACATGTTTTCAATTCTAAAATGGTTAGCTTCTTAACACTGCAACATTATCATCAGTATCTCAGTTATACCATGCACTAAATTAGTTTGTGTGAAATACTATATGAAAATGTAGAATAAATGCAAAAAAAGCTGATTAAAATGATTGTGTAACGTTATTCTGACATTAACCTCATTAGAAGCCAACAGTTTCAGACTTCAAATGGAAAGCAGAACTTTATTGGTTCTCTTATTTGGTTTTTTTAATGTCTTAGAATTGAATTATTTGTAAAAAGGTCAACATGAATGGATTTAGCAATATCTGAGTATGTCGTTAAATTCTTTGACTGTGGTGTCCACGTGACTAAATTTACCAAGCTGCGAGACTTCCAGCTGTTGGAAACAGCTCTGTTCTTTCTCATGTCATGGAGCACATTCTTACTGGCTGAGGCTTGTGGTTTCACAGGTAACACACACACAGATCCACACATTCTACGTGTATGGCATACTGTAATTATCAAAAACAAAAAATGAGATTAGTAATTTAGATAATAATAGTAATTGTGTCCAGCTGGAAGCTTTATGCATCAGAGCATATAGAAATCAGTGCGTATTGATCCCATCTTTATTCTGTGTGTCTCCGTCCCCCTTTGGTGTGCTGCAGGTGTGGTAGCAGTACTCTTCTGTGGAATCACTCAGGCCCATTACACCTACAACAATCTGTCTCCTGAATCTCAGGACAGAACCAAACAGGTCACTACTTATTCAGTTCTTTTTTTTAGATGCTTTAAGTATTGCGTTTTCCTTGTTTTGTTTTGTTTTATGGTGAAGTAGGGTGATGGAGACTCAAAATTAAACAAAAACTGCAGATTGCTTTATCAGTTATCTGCTATTGTAGGTTTGTTGAACAGGTAAAGACACAAAAATCAAAACTTTTCTATGTGTTTATGACATAGCGAATAAAAAAGCAGCATTTTAAGTTTAATTACAATCACAGTCATGCAATCCAAGTTTAACAGCATTTATTGGAAACTCGAGCTTTTTCTTTTATTGTATACATCTATCTATCTATACTTGGATATCAGCTGTCATGTAAAGCATGCTGTTTCTTTTCTTTTGCAGCTGTTTGAACTTTTAAATTTCCTGGCAGAGAACTTCATTTTCTCCTACATGGGATTGACCCTTTTCACGTTCCAAAACCATGTCTTCAATCCGATGTTCATCGTTGGAGCTTTTGTATCTTTTTACATGGCCCTGCCAAGTTCACATAAGCCATGTTAATCCTTGGCTTGAAGCATTATCTACAGCAGTGGGAGACAGATGGAAAGGTGACCTTGCAAGGAGTAGCGAGAGTGCAGGCAGATGAGTTTAAATAGCATCACAGTGGACAAGACAGGTGAAGAAGAGAGTGTAGGCAGGGTGGAGTGGCTGGAGACTAGCGTCCAGGGTGATTTGAGACAGAAGCATAGACCGATCTCAGAGAAGGTTAATGGATGAAGTGAAGGAGGACATGCAGAGGGTTGGTATAACAGAAGAAAATGCTAGGGATAGGGTAAGATTGAGGCAGATGATTCACTCCCTAAAGGGAACAAAAGAAGTTTATTACAACTAACCACCAAGTAGTAAATAGGCAGGAGACAGCACACCTCATTTGCTTTTGTCCTTAACCATGTTCTTACCCAGGTAGCATTATTCATAGGAAGAGCCGCTAACATTTACCCTCTCTCCTTCCTTCTTAATCTGGGACGACGCAACAAGATCAGATCCAACTTCCAGCACATGATGATGTTTGCAGGTTAGTGGTATACGGATAAGGATGTTTATTATGTGCCGTCTTAAGCAAAGCGCTTTCCTTTATTAACAGAGTGAAATATATCCAACAGAGATTCTTATTATCTCATCTTGTATACAACATTCTCCATGCTCTGCTTTTTAGGCCTGCGAGGTGCAATGACCTTTGCACTGTCCATCAGGGACACTGCAACATATGCTCGTCAGATGATGTTTTCCACCACTCTGCTCGTGGTCTTCTTCACTGTATGGATTTGTGGGGGTGGTACCACTCAGATGCTGTCCTGCCAGCGCATACGGTATGCCTATCCTTCCTCTGCAAAGTCCAGACTGGATTTGCAGTTAGCATTTGTTTTAACAGTGGGGAAATTTCACAAATAAGTCTGATGCTTGTCTATAAATATTTTGACTTTATGATGCCGGGTGTTTAACTCATCTAGTTATCCTGTCAGGCAAGTATTCGAACAATTATTGAACGTCTTGAAGAATGTGCTGCTCTGTCTTGTCTTTTTTTAATAAGCAGATTTCCTGCTGGTGAACTTGTAAAACGGGGGAAACATGCTTCACAGCACTGTTCTGCTCTGACAGCTTACGACTGCAGCTGATTTACACGTGTTTCTCTTTCTTTAACAGTGTGGGAGTGGACTCGGATCAAGATAACTCTGTGAGTGTGGCACTTATAAACGTGTTGTAGTTATGTAATTGGTGGAAAGTAACTGTAAAGGAAACCAAGACACCTAAACAGTGTTGTCTGTCTTTGTCCAGATGAGTGTTGGTGAAGGTTCAGAGAGAAGGAGCACCAAACAAGAAAGTGCCTGGCTTTTCAGAATTTGGTACAACTTCGACCACAAGTATCCTTTGCTTAATTAGTGTTATTAATATCAAGAAATAATTTTCAAATAAACCATACATGTAGTGTTTTGAATATGTGATAACTCATTAATGACTTCACTTCAACTTACCAGCAGCAGAGGGAGCCCCACTTACAGACTTAACTTCACATTAGGCCATCTTTTGGCTCTGAAATATGAAGGTCAGACTGTTCTATGCATTTAAAATAAATTACCTTATGAAATTACTTTAATTTGGAACATTTTCTTCTGAGAACTGGGATTCATTAAGCATTCATCACACCGTACCAGGAGCTTTCTTTTTGTGTCTAATAGCGGTTTTTTAGTGCTTATTTCACGCGCATTATGTCCTTGACTCGAGCCTCCCTCCAGCTACCTGAAGCCCATCCTGACTCACAGCGGCCCCCCTCTCACAGCCACGCTGCCTCCCTGCTGCGGCCCCCTCGCTCGCTTCCTCACCAGCCCTCAGGCCTTTGAGGTCAGACGCTGGTTTATACAAGAGCTATTTCTGACTGAACTGTGTTTTGTTTTTTTTAATCCCATATTACCAGATGGAAAACGGTCATGAATCAACGGTTCAGTTTTCATTTTCATTGTGTCATTGGATGGATAAGGAAACACAAAGCATGGGACAAAATTAGAATTGTATTGGTTGAACACAATTTCATCCAATAGCTATGGAGTGCTAAAGTCACATCCTTTTTTCCCAAATTTGTTGTGTTTCTTTGAACAATTTGTGTTTCTTCTTCCTGCAGAACGAATGCCAGCTGAAGGATGACGACTCTGACCTCATCCTGAGAGACGGTGACATCAACCTGACATATGGCGACATCACAGTCAGTACAGACGCCAGTGGCGCCCACACTAGCGGCGGCCCGGCCTTTGCTGGCGCTGCCACCTCTGATGACTTGGACAGAGAGTTAGCATACGGAGATCACGAGCTGGTGATGAGAGGCACGCGCCTGGTGCTGCCCATGGACGACTCGGAGCCGCCCTTCACAGAGCCCCACCACCGCATGCGGATGTGAAAGTAGTCTTTGAATACAGACCCAGACAACCGTCCGACGCACCCTGACCCGAGCCATTGAGCAAAAGACCAGTACCTGAGTCTCCTATCACCTCTCTGCTTTTTTTCTCTAGCACTTTTGTTCCATCTTTCTTGCCACATTTTCTCACATATTCTATGGGGCAAATCATCGTCTCTACCTCATTGTCTTTCTGCTTATTTCCACACCTTTCTGCCATTACTGTAATATAGTCATATTTATTTGCAGTTTTTTTTCTTCATAAATCAGTTTTAAATCATTTCAGCTTAAATTTCTGTGTCACCTTACTGTAGCATTGCACAGAGATCTAGCAGCATGTGTCAGTGTGTAAATGCAACCACTAGCTAACTTGTCGGTGTAAAGTATATCCCAAGAGTACTATAACTTTTATATGCATGCTGAGGATGCTAGTTGTTTTCTTAGTTTGGGAGATTGAGGGCTTTTGTGTTGAATGTTGCTGCCTTCTCTCTGTGGGTCAGAGGCAAGCTGACCCAGTGGACAACGTTACTGTAAATTTGGTTACAATCAAGTGCCTGGGAATTGTAGTTTTTGGCAGCCCAGTACTGGATTAGTTCTGTTAAGCAGAGCTGATTCAATATGGTCAGTCATTCACTTTTCCATTGTTAAAAAAAAAAAAAGATAAAAAAATGCTCAACATAAAACAAAGACCTCTGTCCATAAGGTAGCAATATACTTAGTGCGTGTTTGGGCTGTCAGTCTGTGTGCTATTTGCTTGTAAATAGTGTGTAACAATGTGATGCCAGTGTTGCAGTGTAACCAGGCAGTGAACATGTGGATCTCTCCCAATGACCTTTGACTGTGACATAGAGGGAGACTTTACACCTTATTTTAGAGGCTGCTGTCGTTCATGGCAGGACGAAGGGCTGTTGTTTCGAGATCCAAATGAGATGAGGCGAGAACGCTTAGTGCCATTTCTGTCCTGCATTTTTACATTTTATGAAATCTGAATGCAGATGACCTTAAAGTGTTTTGTATTCTTTTTGCAACAGAGGTTTGTGAGCTGAATCACCTTTTTCATATCCATTTTCTAGTCTATATTTTCTCATTCAATGAACCTGAACAACACATCTAGATACATGAATCTGAGACTAAATTATCTGCTACAGTGGTATTAAGAGCGTTCAACTGATATTGTGCTTAATGAGAACTATCTATCTGCTTTTGGTAGGGCTGCGAACAGCAATTCATTCATCTGCCAGCAGTTGTTTAATAAATTATTTGGTGGAAAAAAAATGGGGAAAAAAATGAGAGTAGTGAACAATGCGCATCAGAGTTGCACAGACCTTAAAGAGTGTTTCAGGAAAAAAATATGATTTAGGTAAATTTTTTATTCATGAAGATCAATGTGATGTGAGTTGCCCATTTCTTTTGAATAATGAGCCGTAAAGATTAAAGATATCTGCCTTCTGTCAAATATAACCAAACACAATCTTGTGGTGTCCAAAACATCGAGAAACACAGAAATGCTCCTTTTACATCATTACTTGAAATTAAATCTACAAACTGTCTTTGAGCTGTTTAATTTAGGATCTATTTTAATGAAACTACATCCAGGCACGAGCCTCTAGTAACAGGTAAATGCTCTCCTCCTTTAGTTAAGTACATGAAACTGTCCACAATGCAGTTTTCTTTTTTAAAGCTGGTCATGATTTCCAGAAAGAGACGTGTTTCTGAGTTTTGAGCAGTTTAGTTTCATTATATAAGAGAGAAGGTGCACCTCTCTAAATCTGGGCTACTGACACCCCAAAAAGTCGAGGTGTCACTACAAGCCAGAAGAAAAACTATAATTATTTGATTTTTTTTTTTTTTGGGCAAATTACATCTTTCTACTTATTTCATTGTTTTGTTTTTGTCTGATTATCTGATTAAAAATGTAACGCAAGTCTTCAGAATCTGTAGATAACATTACCTTTGTTCAACAGCATGACTTAGATCATTCATTTGGTATTAAAATGAACGCAGTACAATTATTTTATTTACTGGCAGAACAGTTAATCAATCAACCGCTGCAGCTGTGAATTTATCGATTGTGTTGTATGAAGTTATTTTCAAAAGACAAGCCCACAGGATTAATCAGTCCGTCCACATGTCAGCAGATATTTTCAGTGGCACTGTGGTAGTTTGTTATTATGCAGACTGCCAGAACAGAGCAACAATAGCTGTTTAAATGCTGGGTGTTTCTGTCTGCTGTACACAGTAGAGTTTTTGATGTGTAATGGTTGACCATGAACACAGAGGCACATAAAGAGAAACATGCAGTGTATCAAAGGTACTCCTGGCCGGATGTGTTACATTTGACTTTGTAGCCTTGTGTCAGTGTTCGCTGTTGGGACTATTTCAGTGCGTGGACAAGAAGAACGGAAGGTGTCGTCAGCTCCTTTGGGTGCGGAGTACAGCAGCTGTTAATGTGAGTTTAACAGGAAGTGTTGATAGCACATCACCGTGGCAACACTGTGTTGATGCAGACTGAAGCTAGACAACATTTGGTGACTTGAAGCAATCATGGCGTTTTTTCTTTTTTTTCTCAAAGTTGTTGTTTTGGCCTCCTAGTGACCCAAAGAGAAAAAAATACTGTGTGTATGCAAAATGGATCTTTGAGGAGGATGATGTGGTTAAAGAGTGAGAAGAAGGGGTGACTGGGGGGCTTGTTAGGCTCTTGTTGTTGAGCGTTCATGTGTTGGGATGATACGGAGGTACAAGGAAGAGAAGGCATGCTAGATATCGCTTTTCCTTCCACAGTTATCTTCTGCTGTGCAGGAACTTCTTATTTCTTCTTTTTTTTTTTATCAGTTATGTCTCTAAACTCCACATTTTCTAATATATGATTTGTTGATCTCACAGTTTTGTTTTCTTTTTTATATGTGTAAGTGTGTTTCTGAATATTTTTTTCTGAAAAAGGGACACAGTGAAGAAAAATGAATGATTTGCACTTACTACAAATGTTGCGCTGTTTTATTCTGTTTTTTTTCTACTCTTGTTTTTATCTTAGTTACTTTTATATTACTTACACTGAAAGGTTGTGGGATTTGCAAATTCATGTCAGTGAATTCATCTTAAGTTGTTTTCTGTGCTACTTTATGAAGGAATATCCCCACATTGCTCCATCTTATTGCTTCGCCATTCAGGTACTTTGTGTGTAAGTTGCTGCTTGAATGCCGTTGCCATGACTTGTGCACAGGCATGATTCATTTATCCTCTGCTGTTATGGACTCTTTGGCGTAGTGGGAACCAAAAGTGAAAAATTATACAAGGAATATTGTGATCCACTGTTCTTTGAGACATTAAAAGATGTGAAATCTGCAAAAAGTAAAAGAGGTTTTGGTGTTTTCCTACTGCTCTGCCAGTACGTGTTCTGTCTCTGCTCTCTGAATGGTGACCTGTGATATGCTTTGATCATTGGAAATCTTGTCTGAAGTAGCTGACCAAAGAAGCCTGCTGTGCTCCGTGTTCTCAGACAGTCCACTCTATCTTTATACCGCAAACTCTCTGTGTGTGAATGTGTCTGTGTGTGTGTGTGTGTGTGTGTCACTGCCTGCATGTGGATGAGGATTTGAATGTGTGGGTATATGTGCAAGAGAGAGAGACAGGAGAGAGGCATTGTGTTCTCTCCTGTCTGTGTTGCAGGTACTGACTGTTTACGTCTGTGTAAATATACTCTCACCTGTTCATTTGCGTGCAACGGTCAATAAACAGAAGCCTGTGCTTTTGATTAAAGCCCTCACTGTAATGGCCTCCTCTTTTACTGTTCATTTATTTATTGTGGATGTCTGGGCTTTAAAAGAATGAAGCCGTGAACTCTTGAGATCATCCCATCCTGAGAAACATGAAATGAGTTTAGTGCCAGAAGTGATTTCATTTGAGTTGAATGAATCAGAGAAGGGATTTTCTTACAGTGTAATAATCGGTTTATAATATTAATTACGTTAGAAGTCTGACAGGTAGTCTGAGCTGGCATCCAATGTGATTTCAGATATTTTAGAGAGGAATAAAATTTGGCTTCAAGCTGACTTAATAATCCACATTTTAAAACATTATGTAGTTAGCATTCCCAACTCTAGAGTCAGGGTTGCAAGATGGTAGAAAAATATACATTGTTTTAGTTTTCTTGCCTCTGGACGTTATTAAAAAATAACTTAAGAGTACAGGAATCTACTGCTTACAGCTTGTAGACATACACAGCCTCTTACAAGGAGACAACTCTATTTTAAGCAATTATAATTTAAAAGTTTGAAGAGCACATTAATTATTTCCTTAAACCCAAATCTGGGGTAGATTAAAGGGTTGGATTTTATACTGAGCCTTTGTTAAAAGCCTCCTTAACCTTTAATCCAGTGTGATACTATCCATCAAATTCTCTTCTGCTTATCCCATTCAGGGTTGTGGGGGTGCTGGAGCCTACCAAGGCCCAACCTGGAAGATGGTAGATTCATACCCAGGCAACAGTGAGGCGACAGAGCTAACCATCATGCCACCGCTGCCAGTGTGATATTAAGTTTCTGAGATGGGCTTTAAAATCCAGGTCACCTTCATGTTCTTGTTCAATGATCTCCATTTTTTTCCAGTTTGATCATATTTTGATATTCATTACATGTAACTGATGACCTGAATTGATTCATTAGTCTTAGGTAGGATAGAGCTAAAGGCAAAAAACAAAACAAAATACTAACAATTTTTTTAAAGAAAAGTGGTGCGAGTGTAAAGTCTGGATCTTAACCTGCCAGGACTGATGGCGTTTAACTCTCCTGGGGCATGATTTGTGCCAGATATCAGGTAACGTGCTCCTAATATGGGAACAACTCCCTCCAGTGTGCTCAAGAATGTCTGTACCCTGGATTTACACTCCACAGAGGAAATGGTAATTTTACAGGATCACTTTGGTTCAGGCTTGACTTGAGAGCTGTTTACATTTCACACATTCCTCACATGAGTCGGCGTATTTGATTTTTGAAGACAAATAACTGCAAATTACTTTTATTGTAATTTATAAAAAAAAAATCATAGTAAATTATATAACAATATCAGAGAAAGTTTGATGCTCTGCAGAAGACATTTTTTCTCCCTGTGCACCATTGAATTCATACATTTATGACAAGGTTTGCAAGGACCTGCACAACCTGAACACATGGCTCTGATCAATGTTGTAGCTCTTGTGTCACAACAGTTGCTGTGTGCTTACAGTAATGTGACGTGTTTGCAGTTAGCGGCTTATTATTAAGTAGGCACGCATGCAGATGCATATGGCTGGAAATAAATAGATATAATGGGTTTTTTGGCGTCGGCAATGAGCTGAATGAATGAATCTGTATTTATGCCAGGTGTTTGACTAACCATGACAGCCTTTAAAACGACAAGTAGGACCTTCTGACCATTAAATCCTTCCGCCAAATCTTCGCCGACTTTACAAACAAATGGATCATCAGTCATCTTTTTCACAGGCCTGGTGTTTCTCAGTGGATGGATATGGATGAAGTTGAAGCGGTGATGCATTGGCGGTTACGGCTATAAAAGGTGCCATCTGTGTTAGATAAGAGCAGCACCTTTTCAGCATTTAATCATCACTTTGTAATTGTGCTGGAAGAACCTTGGGGCTTAAGCTTGCAAGCTGCAAGTATTTACTTTGAGTTTTAGAATGAGTCATCTTGATGTTATTCGTCTATTCGTTACCAAAGAAGGAGGCAATGAGACCAGCACAGAAGTGGGACAAAAAGTGTGTGAAGTTAACAAGTCAGGCTATTTTTATTTTTTTATTTTTTATTTTTTTTTGTAGGATGAAAAAATGAAAATAAATGTAGCGAGCGTTAATAATTTCATACCACAGGTTTCCTGTAGCGCAGACCTGCCGTGACACTCACTAATGAATGTAAAAGTGTCAGTGCTCGTTGATGCAGATAAATGATAAACGATTCGTTTGTCTTGACTTCAGGACCGACGAGAACTTCGCTAAGAGGGCTTGTAAATTCCTGGCTGAGGTCATTGTTTATGAGCGCTTACAGAGGTTTGGCTGATGTCCTCAAGCTTTTTTTTCTTCTTCCTTTGCTCCCCCTGTCTTTAAAGCCTCGTCGCCTCAGCAGATTTCACCTCTCGGCCAAACCCACCGGACGCACTGCTGGCGTAGAGTGACAGGCGCTCATCTTTACGCGTTGCAAAGGTGAGTCCAAACCGCAGCACATTATTAGGTAGCTGCTAAAGTTCGCTTTAGTTTATGTGAAACAAGGAGCGATTTATCACAAGGATGTTTGTGCCAAAAACTTACTTAAAATGCGTAATTGTTACTTTTCTTCCTTATCGGACGGACATTTCAGACATTTAAGTTAATGACGCAAAGGGTCCGTGTGGAAATATGTAACATGCTTGAATTACTCTGAAATCAGCTGCTTATTTCACGCACTATGACACGCAACAGGTGATGCGCTTTGTTTGGGGCGTCAGTCCGCATATATTTAAATGAAGAAGAAAATGTTCTTTTATGTATGCCGTGTGTTTATAGATATATGCTTATGCTTACTTTTATTAGCAAATTAACTAATTCTAAGGTAATCTGTGAGGAACTCTTATATACTATATAATATCTGGATATAACTCATTTACACTAATAAGAATAGTTGCAAGAATATTGCTTTGGATTGGAAATCTAGTAGCAGTTTGTACTGACATATATGTGCTACAGATAAGTTTTTGTTTGTATAATGAAGAGCAAAACCCAAAGGTATGATGTGTGGCCATAAACTGTTACAACATAAACCAGCTTACCATCTCCTCCCTTCCCGTTTGGGCAGCTGCCAAACCAAATGCATGATGTCATTAAAGAGACCTGGAGATTACAGCTTTTTCTTTGGAACACTGGACCTTTTTGTGTTTCCAGTATGACTTCACCATCCTTCAAAATCCATAAAAACGTTGTACTTAAATGGGACATAAATTAACCCAGTTTCAAACTGAAAAGACTTTTTCACATGGTTATATGTTCCTCCTGTCTAAGTCTTTTTTCTTTTTTTAACTTTTAGTAAAATCAGCATAAAAGCAGTGTACACATCCAAGCAGAGAGTGACAGAGCCTGATATGTGATATATGATTGATATACATTTAAAGTGCTATGTCTCAGTGCCTCTGGGGGTACCTTTCCATCAACATCTGCCACACTTAGACAACTGGGGTGGGGGGTGGGGGCATTAAGCCAGCAGTTTATCCTGACAGAGACATTCTTTAGTTAAGAGGGAAGTTCCATCATTTCTTTCAGACAGAGTGAAGAGAGAGACAAACAAAGAGGTTGTGCCTGAGTGCTGATGACTAAGTTGTTGAAACGCATGAAACGGCGCTCTCACCAGCCCAGAACCTAAATAGGCAATGCTGCTTGTTTATCTGTGTGGGCCGACCCCGCTGAGAGGAAGTAATATCCTCTCTGTGCTCTGTGTAGATGTACTAGTCCTCCTTTATTTTCCCTCTTTAGCCACACAAAAAACAAACAAACAGAAAATCGCTGAGAAAAATATGATTGGGATTCTTTATCATTTAGAAAGGACAGATCATGTTGTTATACGGTCTTTTATATACAAGTTCTTTTTGTTGTTGTTGTTGTTGTTTTTTTAAATATTATCCATACAAAACAGTTCATGATTTAAAAAAACATTGAAATGTATGCATGATTTGCATGCCTTTAAATAAATAATTTAACATTTTTGAATTCTTTTATATACAAGTTCAATATCAACACAAAAAGAGCAAATTTACACTGCTTGATATTAAAGTTATGTGCAATTAAGTGCACGAGTGTGCAAAATGTGCCAGTTTACAGTCATTACACAAGCATGATGTGGGACTGAGTTCAGCAGATTCAAATAGCTATATTCATGTTCTGGATATGCTTTTATACAACTGCTATAGCCGTCGGTTAAATGCAGCTGAGTGAAAAGTCGTGCAATTTGGAAAGTATGACTTTAGTTCATGTTAATTCAGCAATCATTATCATTCAACAAATAATTATGATGACATAGATCATGGTGTGATTTGGCCTGTAGAAGTAGGTTAAAGACTATGAAATTTAAAAAATAAATGGTACCCTTTCACTCTTTGACATTATTTTGTACATACAAGTATAACATTGTTTTACTCTGACAACCAGAACGCTGACCGAGCCACAGAAACTGACAGGGGATATTTCACCTTTACTTTTTATCATTAATTAAATATTGAATCCATTGTCAAGTACACAACTGGATTTCTTCTTCTCTGTAAACTATCGCTCCTTGCATCAGCAGAAAGAAATAAGTTTTTTATGTTTAGAGGCTTGAGCCATGTGAGAGCAATGAGCACCATGGAAACTAACTTTTAGCTTTAGTCTGAAAGTTATAGTGCGTGACTGTGTGCGTGTTAGCAACACTCACATCTAAGATGTATTAGTTTAACGGGTGTTACTGTGTTGATCGACCGTCCCTTGTGGCCTTTTCGTTAGAATATATTTGACCTCGGCGTGTTTGGGTCTTGCAGTCTCATCCTGACCTTATGTCCATCTTGTAACACGGCTCCGTACATGAACAAATGGTTGGTGTGCTATGTCGCTGTGTGTGTGTGTTTCTGTGTGTGTGTTTGGTGAGTCACTGTTCCCCTGACAAAGATAGTGTGGCTCAGGCTGTCTGCCCACTAACCAGATTTGGAGGGTGACTGAGACACTGAGATGTCCAGGACACGAGGTCATGTTGAGAAATGAGCTCTCAGACAAATAGACAAGGGTTTTGTTGCTGTTGGTAACAATGAGAATGAGGGTGGCTGCCTATGTCAGTCACCCCAAATGACTTGCTATTATTCAGGAAGTACAGGCCAGATTTCCTGTTTCTCAGCGCTGCCAGCTTAGAGAGGTGTTAGGTAATGAGCTTGAAACCTCCACCTAAAAATTCATCAAATTCATTGCGTCTTACAACAGGAGCAGTTTCAAAAGTACACACACCGTGTGAGAGGGCATATTACTGCCTGGATTACTGTCTGTTTCCATTAGCATTGTGAATGACTTTACAGCCTCTGTCCTCCTTTTTTCTCTAAATGTAAAAATGGCAAATTTATTACATCACCAACCAGGATTTTCTTATTTGGAACATATTTTAGTGAGTCAGCTGACCAGGGGTTGTTTGGGTTTCCCAAAAAAGGATAAGTAGCAGCCAGGTACTTGAATCAAATGCACTTGAATCACTGATCGTCAGTAAATGTGAACACATCTATAACAGCAGAGATTTTGGTAGTTTGCTGTTCTGGAGCGTTCAGTTGTGTCTTAGTGGGATGCCTAGGAGGAAAGACATCAGCAATGATCTCAAAGAAGCAATTGTTACTGCCCCTCAATCTGGGAAGGGTTACGAGGTCATTTCCATACTGCCAGGCTTTGGGATGCTCAGAGAAACTGCAAAAAAACACCAAAAACCGAAGTGCTACACCTCAGATGCTGTTAGCATGTTAGGTTTGAGAAGCTGCATCTGAACAGGCTACAAGACTGATACAACAATGCCCTTTGGACAGGCGGTACTAAATTGGAGATGTGTGGCCATAATGCAGAACACCATGTTTGGAGGAAACCAAAAAGCATGTCAGCACAAATACCTCATACCAACTGTCGAGCAAGGTGGCAGAGGGTGACGTTTTAGGTTGTCAGCCATCTGCCTGACAGCTGAATTTTGACCTAAATGGGGGCAGGCAGCAGGCCAACGATCCCAAGCAGAGGAACAAATATGCAGCAGAATGACTGAAAAACAAAAGAATCATGGTGTTGCAAAAGCCTAGTCAAAGTCCAGACCTCAACCGGACTGAAATGCTGCGGTGAGACCTTAAAAGCCCTGCAAATGAACTGAAGCAACGTTGTACAGAAAAGTGGGACAAAATTCCTCCACAATGATGTGAGAGATTGATAAAGTCATGCAGAAAACAATTACTTTAACTTATTGCAGGCAGTTCTGCAAGTTAATGAAACGTGGATGTACGCTGTCATGTGTTGTTCTTCATTTGAGGTTTTACCTATGTAAGGAAATTTAAATTTTAATATCTGGATGAGGTAATTTTTCTATTATGTCCTGATGTATAAAACCTTCTAAATGACAGAGTGTGTACTTTAATATTGGACCTCTACTGGTTAAAAAATAATAAGAGAAAGACAAAAAAAGAAAAATCCACCGCTTACCACGCCATCATAATTACTCCATTATCAGTTATCCAGTTTATCAAACTGTTAGACTGTGACCTTTCCAGTTTGCCCCACCCCTTATGATCAAAATTCACATGAAGTCAAGGCAACGATGAGAGGAATGCATCGCAGTGCAGACAAAGAGATAAAGACCGAGATAGATGACCCAAACAAACTAAAGGAGAAAAAGGATGTGGGGCAAAATTATCTGGTTACAGACATAATATCTGAAACAAGACTTAAAGTTAAGTATGCAAACAAACTGAGAAGTAACAGATTTCCTGAGCAGACCATCTCCTGGAGATTTTTATAGGCTGGGGAGTCATGGCGCCTCTCGACATATTGATTAGTCTTTGTGGGTTTGCAGTAATTGCGTGACAGATTATAAAAGAGAACAAATGTAATATTGTGTTCTATGGTAATGGACCAAATCGAATCTGTAATTACAACCAGATGCCCTTTAAACAGTGTGGCACAAGCACACAGACACACACTCACTAGTTTGTGTGTATATTTAGATGTGTTTTGTGAGCAACATAGGACATTTTCTTTTCTATACACTGGTTAGGGAGTAAATAGAGAGTTTTATGGTTCCCAACTCATTAGATTTTACTTTCTGTTAGTCTGTGGGCTTTCAGTTTCCTTTAATTTTCATCGTGGTCTCATATTTCTGGCTTTAAACTTGTCTGAGTCTAAAAGCTTGAATGAATCAGAAGAAAGTGCTTTCTGTAGTTCTGCATTTCAGCTGACAAGATGATGAGAAAACAAGATGATGGTGACCATAATGTTTCTGGTATTAGTAGAAACAGTGGAAGTTAACTGAATGTAAGGAAGATTATTTCCTACATAACATTAGGTCAAAAGCTAGAACACAACTTTACTGTTTTAATTTACTCTTAATGCTTTTATATCTTTGTTTTAGGAAACAGCATACAGGTAGTTTCTTTAAAATTGTTATAAAAATATGTTGTAGACGACCTGCAAAACAACGGGCTAACATAGTGGAACATTTTGATACAGGTATTTACCTCAAGGAGTTTTCATAGACCATATCAGAGCTAAAGTAATGTGAACATATTAGTTATATTTGATATACTGATTGATCCGGTGGTCAAATAGCTCCAAATAAATGATAATGTTGTTCCATATCTGCTGTTTGCTAACCAGAAGGGGGTTTTTTTCTACTCATGACTTGGGAACCTGTCTGTTGTTCCTGTAAAATAATATCTAATCATTTTGGCCTCATGTTTTGTTAATAATAACAAATGTTTCTGTTTCAGTTGTTGGTCTGGGTTAAGTATTGTAACTGCATGAGGAGAATTTGTTTTTGGCAAGAGTATTAGTGAGGAATGTGTGGGTGTTTCCTCTGGATTTAAACACAATATTCTTTCCTGAAATCTGAATCAACGAGATAACAGAGAAAGAATTCAGCACTCTTGGCTTCATTTTTTTCTATTCTTCAAACCCCACTAGTTTTTTCCATAGTATCCACTCATGAATATATAAGAGGAGATCTTTATATAACTCTCCACTAAACAGCTGCCCTCCTCAGTTCAATCAATATCAACTTGTTCCTCTTGTGAGTCATCCCTTTGAATTATCCCACATATCAGCTGTACATCTTCTGAAGAGTCTTACAAAACATTTAAAGTCAGGGCAGTGGGAGTATCTGTTATCCCTCACGGTCATCATTCAAACCCCCCAGGCTGTGTTTTCCTTTTTTTTTCACCTGCTGATGTTACAGCAGAGGAATCCAATCTGCATCACCTAATCTCTGCATCATACTCTCTCTCTCTCTCATCCATCTATTCTCTAATGCATTCCCTAAAAAGGACAGGAGGGGTGAAGGTTGGATTTGGATTTGGGGTCGGGTCACAAAGGGGTATATACAGCCCCCATTTCTTAACAAGATGTGTGGTCTCCAGGTTCGACCCTCTGTGGATGCTACTGACCCTGTTTTGTCTTCCTTTTCTTTTCTTGTTCTTCTTTTCGGCCTTTCTGGAACACAAACATGACATACAGACACTCAGGTAAAAACTTTTTGCCTGTTTTTTTTTGTTTTTTCTAATCAGATGCAAAATGTTTTTGTAACAGGTAAGAAGAACAGGTCTGTTTTCAGATAATGAAGTCAGTGTGTTTTCTTCTGATTGTTTTCAGAAAAACGGAGCAGGTCCACTGAGATTTTCTCGATGTGTGAAACAACCTCACCTGTAATATAAATACGGGCTATTTTTAAATGATCAGTTTTAACAGCTTCAGGTGGTTTAATGAAAAACTTCACTGAAGTTCTGATTCAGATATAACATTTCCCTTTGGATCAAAACAAAACCAGGGAAAGCATGTATAAACAAAACAAAGCAACTTGAATTCAAGGAACTTTTTTTCACTTCAGAAGGTGGATGAGTAAATTAACACCACAATTAAAGCTCAAATATTCCCTGTACTTTATTTACTTTAGATGAAATGTAAAAAAAAAATTAAATGTGCTTTATAAATAAATAAATAAATAAAATGAAATCTTCATATAAACTCTATAATTATATATATATTATATATATATATATATATATATATTATATATATAACTTCACGTAATCTTGGTAACCGGCTAAGGTAAATATTCAATTATTTATACAATTAAATCTACTATTATATATATATATATATAATATATATATATATATAATATGATATATATATATATATAATAATATATATATATATCTATATATAGTAATATTATTTAGGTAGGTATAAAATATGATAAAATTTTGTATTTATCTGCAGCAAAATAACTTAATAGACCCAATAACTCCTCATTATATTGTATCATCATGAAAATGCCATGTTGTACTATGGATTTGTGGTTTAATATTACAATTTGTGGATGTTCAATTATGTAGTGACTGTTTAAAAGTGTTCAGGGGCCTATTTTGAAATTTTGGAAATTGTTATTGCCATGCACCTTTACCTCTATAACACTTTCACATGAAGATGGGAACACTTTCAGTTTTCTTTAAGGAACGTTAAAGAACAGAACACTTCAACAGATATTATTTCGGCTGATATTCAGTCTGTCCAGTGTTTGACTCACTTCTTGAAGTGATCTCACTGTGACCTTTCCCACTAAAGAAGACTCCTCCCCGAAGGGAGCACAGTGGTATACACCTCTCCCACCACAGCTGAGCATCATTGTACATCACGGCTGTTTGACAGGGGGCAGCTGTCACGCTGTTTGCAACAGCAGATTAAAGTACTGGAAATGTGTCAGCTGGAGCCACAATAGCTGCATAGTCCCAGCAGTCATCAGTCTGCATCCATCTACATTTGTCCACTTTGGAAGGTCAATGGACTTTAAATAGAGTGTCCAAGTCCAAAATAGATCTCCGGGCTTGCTGGGCTTAGTAATGTGTACTGTGTGTGATTTGACAAGGTTGACTGTGTTGGACTGAAGGGGGTTTTGCCATGAAATGCTACAAGGGGGTGAGTTTAGGTGGAGTAGGGCGTGTCACTGCTCAGTCCCCAGTCCAGTCTTTATCCCTTGAGCACAGCTGCAGAACAGAGCACACCACATACCTCGCATCGCTTTCACGTGGCTTTTATTTTTATTTTTTTAACCACATCTTACTTGAATAGCTCCCTGCATAAATGTTTTCTTTGCTCCCTTGGTTACTGGGACAATTGTCATACCCTGCATTGTTTCCTCCATAGCTGCTGTTGCATCGGATTAAAATGATATCTGTGTATCCAAATAAATCAATTTTTCTAAAGTTCACAGACTGTTCAGCTACCCTTTCTGGCTTCCAGATAAGCTTTTAAAGTGATATAGATAGTGCTTATTTGTCCACACTATGCATAACTATTTATTCCAGAAAATTACTCACGCTGGATGTCAACTGTGACAGGAATGCAGGAATGTTGACCGATAAAGTAGCAAAGCCACTCTGACACAAAGTTTACAATATCATCTAATAAAGTGATCTGACCAAAACGCAAGACAAAAGATCGAATGTGGGCCGGGGCTCTGGGGAGACAGCTTTGAGGTGGAGGGGGTGAAGGGAATGCGTCTAAAAATAAGCTTTCCAGGGAGAGCTTGATAAAAAAGTCTACAGGCCAGGAAACCTGCAATCAACAAGTAGACATCTGTGGGCTGCTTTTTTACCTCACTCACACTTCTCTCATCAGTTTGGTATGCTGCTGTTAGAGCCACATGTCATAGTGTCTCAATGGGAAAGCAGAAAAAACATATACATCTTTCCACTGAAGACTAAATATAAATTCAGCATCTATTTTTTTAGGTTAAGAGGTCAGATGTATATATGCATATATGTGGGTGGAATGTATTGTTGCTTATATTCAACCTGTCAATATAAGCAACTTCAAACTTTCTGAGCTGCAACTATAAGGGGTTCAGAATGTTGATTCCATGCTGTAGAAAATGCAACAGTGCCCCCTGCTGGTGCTACAAGGAAACATCCTGCCATGTAGGCAGACCTAAACGTGGAGAGCAGATTCTCTGTACACATTCAGTGACACTCTCCTCCTCTCGTCTCCTCACAGGTCCCAGGAGTTATCTAACCTCCACCATGACTGATCGCTTTGACTGCTACTACTGCCGTGACAATCTGCATGGCAAGAAGTATGTGAAGAAGGATGACAAGCACGTGTGCACCAAGTGCTTTGATAAGCTCTGCGCCAATACGTGCGCAGAGTGCAAACGCCCCATTGGTGCTGACTCCAAGGTGAAAATAGTGTGGATGGAAAAGAATGATTTTTTTTTTTTGTTTAAGCTTTGAGTGTAATGTAAAGATTTCTTACACAAATTAATATATCCTAAATGCTATTATACTTAATATTTGTACTTTTATTTGGTTAAGTGCAAAGATCCTAAAATGGATTAGGGTTTCGGAAGCTTTCTAGATATTCCTCGCAGATTCCAAGGACAAAATAAAAACATTTTAAAGGTCATTTTGTAGAGAAAGGAGACTTCTGATCTGCGTATAGGCCATTTTCACATCAGCCATGCTGAGTAGACCCTGGGTGGCAGCTATCTAAATATTAAAATGCCTTTTGTAGATGTAAATCGTCATTGAGGCTTTTGAATAAACGTGACTGAAGTGCAGACTGTCAACTTTAATTCAAGGCTTTTAACTAAATTATAAACAGTTTAGGTGTAACAGCCAATTTTATTCACAGGGTCTTAAAAGTAACTGGACAAACTAAAATAACCTGACATACGGGATTGTTCCTAATAACTTCCTCAAAATCCTTTGAAGGCAATATTTGCTTGACCTTGCTGCTTGTCCAAATAATTGTGGACCTAACTGTATGTACTATATGTTCAGAGTGCTCTCTGGCTGTAACTTGAGGTCTGGCTATTATAAAGCACCGACTTCTGCCTTGAAAATGCTCTCAGTACTCGGTCACAGGCAGTTAACTGTGTGAAAAGATGTGTCATTCCTAATAATGGAGCTTATATACCTCATTGTGCATTTCCACCCTCTCAGACCTCTAACTCCTTCATGGCTCACCACATCCTACTTCACTTCATTACCACTTTTATGCCGGTCACATAGGTTTGTTCTGTATTCGGCCCCTGAGCCTCAGTCCACATGATGAGTAAACAAACTCCATTTTAATGAGGTCTGCATCAGGACTTAGTGAGGGCACATCTGCTCACCTCCCCACCCCTGCTTTCCCCCTCAGGAGCTGCACCACAAGAACCGCTACTGGCATGAGGACTGTTTCCGCTGTGCCAAGTGCTACAAGTCACTGGCCAGTGAGGCATTCAGCGCTCGGGATGATGGGAAGATAATGTGTGGCAAGTGTGGCTCCCGAGAGGATGGCAATCGCTGCCAGGGCTGCTACAAGGTGGTCATGCCAGGTGGGTTTGCACCATATACACACCTTTTCTCTCTGAAAAGTTTTCATGACATTATTTCTGTGGGTAATAATTTTTCTATAGAACATTATTTTGCGCATACAACAACAACACTTTAATAAACACGGCAAAAGTTATAGGATGTAATGAATTCTTTCATTTTAAAAATTCCCTCGGATACAACAAGGTAGCATGGACCTTGATAGTAATGATAGTACATATAATATCAGACAGGGCACTGATATATATACATAATGTCCCTCCTCGTTATAGACTAAGCAAATTTTCAGCCCAGATAATTCGTTTTCAATCATCTTATATTCAGGATCTCAGAACGTGGAGTACAAGAACAAGGTGTGGCATGAGGAATGCTTCACCTGCATTGAGTGCAAGCAGCCAATCCGCACACAGAGTTTCCTGGCCAAGGGTGAGGACATCTACTGTTCTCCCTGCCACGAAAAGAAGTTTGCCAAGAAATGCTTCCACTGCAAGCAGGTACAAGCACAGACTTTATCATTCTCTACATTTAGTTATCATCCCGTTGTGTTTGACATCACAATCAAAATATCTGCCTTTCCAAGCCCATCACCTCTGGAGGGATCAGCTACCAGGACCAGCCATGGCACTCCGAGTGTTTCGTGTGCAAAACCTGCCATAAATCTCTGGCAGGAACTCGCTTCACTTCTCATGAGGACAACATTTACTGCGTGGACTGCTACAAGACTGATGTGGCCAAGAAGTGCCATGGCTGCAAGAACCCAATAACAGGTCAGGGAAGCATCATCATTTGTTTTGTTGTCTACATAATGTGCGCTGGGATTCATTTTTAAAAAATGATCTAAAATGTTTTGCGTACTTTCTTCGTGTTGTTTCTCACTCATTTAAGACCAACGTTGTTTGGAGTAAGGTTTAGAAGTACTGTGTTATATAGTTAGACATTTTTGTATCTGAGAGCAAGAAAAGGGCAACACTTTGTTTTCATCTCTGGCAAACAACCATTTAAATTATTTCCAATAAACTTTCAGCAAAACTTCAATTTGTTCAGGCAGCACACAGCAGGTCAGCTGAACAAGCAAAAATATTAAAATTTGTCTTATGGCAGGCATAATAAATGACTAATGCATGAATAAGCACTTGGATTTAAATGGAGATTAGTGCCAATGATAGGGAGCTTTTCCCTCCTTACGCAATTTCCCCTTTTAAATTTAATCCTTTAGCTCTTACATGTTGTTTTGGTCTCAAACGGTAAGATCATGTATTACATGTTTTGGCCTTTATGCTTTATGTTAACACCCTCATGTGTCTCTGTGCAGGGTTTGGCCACGGCACCAATGTGGTCAACTATGAGGGATTGTCCTGGCACGAGTACTGCTTCAACTGCAAGAAGTGCTCCCTCTCCTTGGCCAACAAGCGCTTTGTCATCAATGGAGAGCACATTTATTGCCCCGACTGTGCTAAGAAGCTGTAAAATGTGCAAACTGTTGTGCATCTGAGAATTTGATGATGTGGAGTTAACACCTAAACTGACTTTTTGACAAAAAAAATTTTTTTGCAAGGTTGCCAAACTACAGGCTGTGTCAATTAACTTGCATTTATCTATATAAACATAACTGCAGCTTGTTTCAGAGTCAGGGATTGGATACTAACATGACGTATTTTCTTTGTGGGTTTGTGATGTGCGCTATATATCTAATACAGGATTTTGTAGAGCCTATTGAGACAAAAGTCTTTTCAGTGGCTTACTGGAATCTTTTGGGGGGAAAATGCTTTTAATATGCTTCCTGCTGCTAATACATACCAGCTTTGATTAATAGTCTGTTACATCTCTGAATGCACAAATAGAAAACGAGAAAACTGTTTAGATGAACCCATACTGAAATATAAAGTGCTCATGTATTCTTAATGAGTGACATTAAATGCAAAACATGAATAAAAACAAACTGATATGAAGCCCCATTTTTCCTCTTCACAGCAAGAAATGGAAACATTTTTTCAAGGCTTTATTGTTTTAACAGTCAGTATCTCAGTAAACTTTAGATATATTTACAGTACAAATGTAATATGTGGACAGGGCATTGTTAGTAAAACGTCTAGAGAAATATTCATATTCACAAAGTTGCCCTTGTTGAGTAGAATGATTGTCGAGGCCGAGGTAAGGAGAAGCTTTCTTAGTTGACTGTGAAACAATAAAAAAAAACCCAAAACAAACAACCCACACTAAATCTTAATCTAAGGCACCGTTCTAACCTAACATTATAGATGATGTTGAGGACTACGTGCTGTGAGCTCTGCATCCATACCCTGTAACATGCAGACACCGTATGTGTTCAAGCAGCAACTATAACCACTCCTTAGGCGTATTCAGGAAAGCAAAGTGGAGTATGAAAGATCTAAGGCTCAGGTTATGAATGAGGCTAAAACATCTGGATGGGAATAAGTGACAGAACTACATAAATGACTTTTTCTTTATGAAAATTTACACAGCTCCCCCAGGAGTCTGTAAAGTCCTCAGATACGTGCTTTGTTTAAAGAAGGGTAACTTGTGACAGTGCAAAAAGTCTCATGCGTCCTAGAAGAATAACATAAGATGGCTAAAAGCGCGTAAGCTCAGAGACGTGGTAAATATTGCAGGACGGTTTATGGAGTCTGTTACATTCTTTGAGCTTATTAATCAAAGCTAAAAAGCTAAAAAGCTCAGACTCCTTATATGTACAGAGAGAGTTTAGTAAGCCAGCAGAGAAAAAGGCAAAAGTTCAAGGTCTCAAACCTCGTGCTTGGACTTTTCAAGCATCAAGAAATTCAACATTTCATGAATAACAAAGAACCAGACAACCAGCCTGACCCACGTCAGGTTTTGTCGGGTGGAAGTGCCCTCCTTATTCTACAGTAGAACAATTGAATCCTGAGCAGACGCACCTGCAACGACCAATCAACACCCCTACATCCTTTTGCGTGACATTAATTGTATTTTGATGACAGTAAAAGCACTGAGAGGCACATCTATGACTCATATCATGGGTTTAGATGTGTTTGTAAGGACAAAAATGGCTCTGTCTGTCATCCAAATCTCAACTGGTTTAGTCTTATTTTAGGCAAAATTTAGAATTAGCGCTTGCAGATACAGAACTGAAACTTAGGAAACAAAGTAGATTGCCACCCAGTTTTGTTGAGCTCTTGTGAAAGGGGACATAAAGGTTGCCAGGTAGGCCAAACAGAACCTGGCAACCCCGTCACACGGCACCAGTCAAACTGAAACCGAATAGTCATTTACACAGACTCTTGAATTCTCCACAACCTGAGCCACTCCATCCTAAACATGGCTTCATTTGCCTAATACTGATTATTTACACAATATAATAACACTTAAATATATGTAGAAATGCATTTTCATATAGAAACCAACAGCCAAAATTGTATACTACAAAAATAGTTGAAATGCATTTTGTCATATGTAGCAGCTAGTTTGACAGGATATTTAGATGGTGGTTAGTTGGAAAGAAGTGGAACTGATGATGAAGCACACAGAAGAATGAATCACAAAGCGGGAACTAAAGCTCAAGTTAAAACCGGATCATTGAAAGCCTGATTCCTAGTTTCAGTTTAGTAACAAACACCATGTCAAAAAGCTCAGAAGCAGCTAAAAATAAACTACTGGATTTCACCTCTGTGTTGTGACAGGCTGTTACAGGTATGGTTATTCAAACAGTTGGAGGAGTCGCCACAAATGACACTAAAACCGGACCCAGCTACGACTCTTGTAAAGTACAATATTAGTAAACTTGTATTCTATATACAAATGCAAAAAAAAAAAAAGAAAAACCTAAACCAACCGTGAGCTTCAAACAAGTGCAAAAAGTTTACTGAACATGTGGATCTACACATGGTTCGCCTTCAAATGCAACTGCTGTGCTGCTGAAGCCCTCTAGTGGCCAAAGAAGGAAAGGGGGGGAAAAAATCAAGGAGGGGGATGAAATGGCAAAAGCCCAGTCTAGTAATGTATTAACACAGCCAATCCCGAGGTTAGCAGGGATTGCTAACCTGTGCATGCAAGAAAAAAAAAATTGTTTAAAAAAATTAGAAAGGAGGGAAAAAAATTGTAAGGCCATGTTGCTGCAAAAAGTAGACTGTCAAGTAAATTTAGATCAGTCACATGGAGAACCTGTGATGCCACCTCCACCAAACCCCAACAAAACAGAACGTATAACAATTTCTTCCATTAATTAAGAATAATTCACAAAATCTATTGTGCATGTGTCCTGGAATATTCTCACAAGAAGAAAAAAAGACTAAACATTTGATAACAATAATTACAATATCAAAGAAGCCAAAATTAATAAATTATAACAACGCACCCCTGACAAAAGCAAACACTTAAAAAAAAAAATATCATCAAAACCGAACAAAATTGAAAAAAAAAAAAAAAAAAAAATCTGGAGAACTAAAAACCACAAGAGGAAGAGGAAAAAGACCCAGGGTAAGCATGTGGAAAGAATAGACAGCATTTCCCTGAAGCACAATTATTAATATATACTTTCAATACATAGTTTCCTCATCATGTAGGGTGCAAACGTAGCACTTGGGTGGTCTTTCCACTTCACCTTGTGCTCCTCCCTCTGGAAAAGGAGGAGAAAGGGGAGAAAGCTGCTTGGAATTGACAGAATTTTTAAGGAGGTCAACTAGACAGGAACTTTAGGAGTGCAACAATAAGAGGCTTCTCAGCGACGCCGCAGACGTCAAATCTCTGGAGGGACATAAAACACGAGAGTTCTTGTCAGTTGTTAAGTTAGACAATGGCAGCATCGGAGTCATCAGCGACTGACAGCTCACCTGGCAGGGCTTCTATGGGTTGACTGGAGGAATGCAGCGTGCTGATGGGAGTTTCATTGTCTTCAAAGGCTACTCTGGTTCCATCTGAGCTCCCGTCACAATTGATCAAGACATTGTTACAGTCCCCCGCCTCAAGGAGGGGTCGAGACTTGGAGTGGCCGTTAAGGTCAATGAGCTCCTCAAAGCTCCATTGGTTGGATTTTCCATTGACTGTGGAGACCGACTTGGTAGAGTCTTGCTCATTCGTGAACTCAGAACCCTCGACAAGGCGACCCTCAGGTACTGGACTGAAGAAGGGGAACAAGGGAGAGTAAGAGATTATTATAGGTGTTTGTATTTTAATAGAAATACATCTGAACTAAAATCTGATTCTTAAGAGAGAAAAAAGATCTGAAATGTAATGTATTTTATGTATTTCTCTGTAAAATGTTAGAAGCCAAACTGTAAAATATGAGATGGGAGTCCTTGGCTTCACTAACATACCAAAACAGTTTAATAATGTGAGAAAATCTTGTCCCACCTCTGACATGTTAGCTAACTTGTAATACCGAGGTATTTTGTGAGGAAGAAAAGTGCCAACGATTTGAGGCAGTTTTAGATGACTAAACGTAACTCAGTTTGTGGGTTTTGTTGGTTTCTCTACAGTTGTACCTTTCTGCCTGAGTCTCATCTGTGCTTGTGCCATTGTTATTCTCCTTGTCTGTCTCTGATGTCTCGTCCGTGTGGCCCAGAGGCTCTTCTCGCTCTGTTGCAGGCTCACCGGAGGACAGACAGCTCTCATCTTTGTCAATCTCTGTTACTGTATTAGGGCGACAATGAAAACACAGATTAGACATGTCACAAGTCGCATAGAAATATATGTAATTTTACACAAGCAATATGCAAGTACATTGAAAGTAAGAAGATACATTCGCAGTTACAGACAAATAATGAAAGTTGCTCAGCATATTTAGATTCTTAGCTGAAAAAGACTGGAGAACTCTTACTTTTAGTTTCATAGTTTATCTGGTCCATTTCCTCATCTTCATTCTCCTGTGTGCATTTATCATCATCTCTCTACACAGGAGACAAATGTTAACAGACCTTGATTGTGAAGGAATTTTCCGAAAATCACAAATATGACCAAATGGGTTGACTGAATGTGAGCTCACCTTTAAATCATTTTGGTCCCCTTTTCTAGTTCTCTTCATTATTTCTTCAATTCTCTGTAACAGAAAGAAGTTAGGTTAGAAATTGATTTCTAGTAATTACTTTGCCAATGTGATCTGGACTCTTGGGTAAAGGAGAGACTGATGGTTAAAAAACTGACTCTCGATGTAACTTCTTGTCAAAACAAAATTATTTAATGACACGTCGATGAATCAAGGCCCAAAACAAAAATGTAAAAAGTTGATGCACCCATCATACCTTCTTCCTCTCCATACGCTCCTGTTGGTTCTGCTGCATAATGCGGTCTCTCTCCTGACGAACTCTTTCTGCCTCCTCCTGGGCTTTGGCCTCGGCCTCCTCGCGTTCCTTTTGGAGCTCAGCCTGCCTTTGTGCTTCCTCCTCTGCCAGCCTAATCCGTTCCTCCTCTGCTAGGCGAGCCTCTTCCTCTTCCCTAAGTTTTCTCTCCTCTGCAAGCTGCTTTTCCTCCTCCAGACGTTTCAATCGAGCCTCTTCTGCTAAACGTGCCTCTTCTTCTTTTCTCAACCTAAGATAGTCAAAAATGGCACTTCTTAATTTAACGTATCCTGACAAATGAAAATTATTCGTATTCATTACCAGTATGCCTCAGCCTGTTTCATTAGCTAAAACAATGGAAATCGCACATGTGGCTATAAAATACAAGCAGCTCCAAACTACTGTTGTTATTAAACAACTTTGTTGTCAATGGTATTACGCTGTGGTCATAAATGAGGTTACTCTGTCATATATAGACAAACAACACACAATAAAAACAATGATTTATGATGATAACTTGTGGAACAAACAAGAACACAGTTCCAGCAGCTCAAATAACCTTACCTCTCCTCTTCCTCCTTCTGTAGCCTAAGCTTCTCCTCTCTCTCTTTCTGCTCTCGCATCAGTCTACGGTTTTCTGCCAGGATCTTGGCAGCCTCAGCAGCCGAGT